CTACTAACCACCTATGGGGATACCATAGGCACGTCATTGTGGCACCAATGGCGTGACACTAACCGTGGCAGTGTGATCAGTCCACGACGTCTCCTCTTTTGTGCTCTTTTGAGAGCTATTTTGGTGTGATGGATATTAGATTTAGGAGGCGTATGGGTCGACCATAGCACATGTGGTTCGTTTGTAGGGTGGATGTCGATGTAGTGTCCAACGCCACATCTCACATTTAGTACGTGTGGATCTACAGTCCAACGTACAGGCCTGTGTGGCCATATGTCTGACAATTGTCCTGTTAGTTAATATGCAAGTGTATGCGTTTTCGAGCTTGATTTGTCCCTTCATATGATTTCGTATGATTATGTTATTTGTTGATTTTACTAAGATTTTTGGTACTCGTTTGGTTCGATGTCTTGAGATCAATTTTGGCATGTTTGTATTACCATTTTATTGTAATTATTTATTCGTTCACTGGGCATTTGGCTCAGCTGTGTTTTCTTCTATTCCTCACGGCAGATAATCAAGGGGCGACTAAGTTTTGTGACAGAGAGTAGACCAGAATCTTGGTTTCAAAGGTTTCAAGAGGTTTACTGCTATGTTAATTTATTTATTGGATTTTTTTCCTTTTTGGCTATTAGATTAGATTTCCTTTTAGGGTTGCTTTTGGATTTTTCTCGATTGTTGGAGGATACTGAAAGTGGTTTGTCTGGAGACCTTTATATCTTATTTGGGGTTATATTCAATTTCGTTATTGGAAGATTTTATTTTATTTTTGAATTAGGGACTATATTTTGGAGGTTTTATATAGCGGCTCTGTTACGTTTTGAAGCAACCTCCCTTCATTCGGAATGGAGGTGTTACACTTTGACATATTATTTAATAAATATATTAAATTAATCTGAAAATTTATAAATTATTCATTCATATAACAATAAAATATAGATCAAAATCTATTTTGCTGACATTTAAAAAAAATTCAACTAAATAAAATAAAAATATGTTATTTTTTTTTCAAACAAAATATTTTATGTTTTTGTTTAGTGAATGGAAACGTAAGCCAAAATCATCCCTAACTTGATCCTACTTTGGAGTTCACCAATAATATGTTTACTAATGTATTTAAGCATATAGCAATTCATGTTCTAATTCGGGATTTTTAACATTCTTTCTAAAACACTGATTTCATTCCACATACTAAATAGTTATGGAACATTACCTGCTACTAACCCACAAGTTTGCCATGAACAATATATTTTACCAGACAAATCCTCGAAAATTACAACCAGCCATAATAAATTTATGGGCTGTTTGGTTTATGGAATTGGAAGTCATTGTCGTTTGACCAAATTCCAAAGCCATGTTTGGTTCAAGGAGTAAAAGTGATGGAATCCTTTCAACCAACGGGTATTCTTGGATTTCAATTACTTAACGACAAATTTCTTGCTCTAATCCAAATTCATTCAAACGTAGAGAGCTCGTCTACCATCTCCTCTAGTCGATCTCTTCGGTTCGATCTCCGATCTGGTATGCGCTCTCGCTCTCTCTCTCTCTCTCGTGATTTCTCCGTCTCTACATCTAAAAAACGAGGTGATTTCACATCTTCCTTACAATCTTCATCTTCTAGATACTTGTTTTTTCTTTTCTTCTTTGCTCTATTTTGTTTTGTTATGATTTTGGGAAATTGTTATGAATATCCTGGAGGTTGTGTATGATTTTGTGATTAAAGTGTATGCAATGTTATTGGTTTACAGTTCTGAATTTGTTAATCGCAGGGTTATGAAATGTTGGTGATCAAGTTAATGGGTTAAGGTTTTTCTTAGTTGAAGGTGTTGTTGGATTGCTGAAGGTGTATGGATTTTTTTATGAGTTTTTGCAAATGTGTTGTGATCTCTTTGTGAAAAGTTATGAATTTTGAGTGTTTTTACTACCTTAAAGCATCTTTGTTCGATATGAAAAACAGAAATCATTCCAACCAAGATTTAAGATGCAAACATCAATTGTTCAACTTAAAATCCTAGAGCGAGCACTGTTGTTAAATTCAGAACCACAAAGAATGGAAAAAAGCGTACTAGTCTTGCTCCTAACTTGCATAAAAGTATAACGACAGCATAGAATTAAAGTCGGAGCCTATGTTCACGAGTTCTCTTGTGTGCTTATCCAATCCTCATGATTCAACGAACCCTCGTCTTTTGTTCGTTTTCACATGTCAACATCTTCGTAACGTATTTCTTGCGTAAATTTGATAGTTTTTTGTCTTGTCTTGGTCCTTCTTTCGTTCACCATGTATACCATCCATTGATAGTTTTTTGTCTTGTCCTGGTTCCTTCTTTCATTAACCATGTATACCATCCACGCACACCGCCTCCCATGTAGGCCTCCTCCATATGAAATCCAACTAATCCATTTACTAAATCCCAACAAATAAAATAATTATAGTTTCATATATAAAATCGCACATACTAACTTCATATATGAATTGCACAACTACTTTCACTAGTTCTCCTCTCCTCAAGTATCATTATTATCTTATAAAAAATGACATCTCTTCTTCCATAGCCTTAACCCATTCATCTTTACCTGCTAGTTTCAGTCTTCCAGTTGCTCAAATGATTCATCCTTATTTCATTCCATACTTTTCTCCACTACTCCATCCTCTACCACCGCAATCAAACAATATTCCTTTTCTTCTTCAGTTGAATTTCAGTCTACAATACCTACCTTTTGTTTCTCTTGATCCAATTACCCCATTTTCACACACAAGCTTCTCTTCTACCATGGCTGGCTGCTGATAGTATATTCTTCCCCAGTAAAACTCATAGCTCTTATCTTCTAATTCACCTAATGAGGATTTTAAATCTCTTCTCAGATCTTCCTCCCTTTTAGTTACAGAAACTCTCTCAAAAAAACAAGAAATCGTTTTCATCAAAGGGATGAAGGAATTGACTGGACCAACGTAACATTCTTCTTGATTTCTTTCCTCTACCAAAAATTTTTAGTAACAAGAAATCACACATGGAAGGAAATCATGCATGTCTTTCAAACTGCATAGCATCTTTTATATGACTTGTTGATATTTCGAAGTGCATTTCAGTACATACATGATCATGAGGGCTTTACAAAGCATTAACAGTCCCCTCCCTTTTACTTTACTTACACATGTATTAATTAGATATGTTTTCATCTGTTGAAAGGGGTCTGGTTTAGCACATATACATGCAAAAGTGTCCCTCCTTATCTCTTTGCATCACCACAATCATGATTTAGATTTCAGGACTTTTGAAAGACTCAAAAAGTAAAGAGCTTTGATCTTGTGTTCAGTAAAGAGCTCCCCTGTTATAGCTACTGAAACATTTTGATTCATGATTCATGGTCTTTCTAGAAATGGGATTCTACACCATTGATTTGTTTGTGTGATAATCTGCATTTGATTTCCTAAGTTAATGTGTTATGAACTAACATACATGTTTTAATGATTTGATAGGCACTCGAGTCCATGCTAAAATGTGTTTACCCGATAAAAGGTTAATTCCCAAATAAGACAACTTCTTGTTCCTAACTAACATATTTTCTTTTAACATCTTGCATATACACATAGCATTTTTACCCACTTCGATTACTTTATTTGATAACAAGGAAATAAAACCATTTTATGTCTTTAAACAAGATAGTGACAATATGTGCATATTATTTGGTTTTTCATTACGGTTTGCACTTTAATAGCCGACTACGAAAAGGGATACTCTTTGTCAAATATGGATCAAGTTTCAATATTGCATAGATATGCTTATGAGAGTGACAATATGTACATATCACAACTTAGGATGAACATAAGGTGTTTCAAAAATTTATGTGATATGTTGAAAACATTAGGAGGATTACGAGCAAGTAGGCATATGGGTATTGATGAACAAGTTGCCATTTTCCTTCACATTATGGTTCATAATGTTAAAATTCGAGTCATCATATGTCGTTTTCATCGTTCAAAATAAACAATCGGTAGACTATTTACTCGAGTTCGCAACGCGGTGATCAGATTGCATTCACATTTGCTTAAAAAACTCGAACCCGTTACAGAGGATTCTACTGATGGAAGATGGAAGTGGTTCAATGTGTATGGAATATCTAATTTTCTGGTATTCATATGTTAGTAACTTAAGTTGTGTAATGACCATTTTTATTTTCTTGGTTTTAGAATTGTTTAGAAGCTTTAGATGGAACATATATAARGTGCTTAGTGCCACTAGAAGACAAGGCTTGATACAGAACAAGAAAGAATGAAATTGCCACAAACATGTTAGGGGTCTATTCACAAGATATGCAATTTATTTATGTGTTACCCGGATGGGAAGGGTCGGCGGCCAGTGGTAGAGTGCTTCGAGACGTTCTTCTTAGGCCACATGGGCTAAAGAAATGCCACATTATTACTTGGTAGATGCCAGATACACAACTGGTGAGGGTTTCCTTGCCCCATATAGAGCTCAAAGATATAACTTAAATGGTTGGCATGATGGATGCCAACCAACGACACTTAAAGAACTTTTTAACATGAGATATTCATCTGCAAGAAATGTCATAGAACAATGTTTTGGCAATTTGAAGGCAAGATGGGGAATTTTAAAAGATAACTCGTACTATCATGCTGAACTGAAAAACAAGATCATAGTGGCATGTTGTCTACTTCATAATTATACCAGGTGAGAGATGCCAATTGATTCGTTTGAGAATGATAGGTTGGACGAAACAATTGAAGACGATGGAGACCAAGACATGGATAACGTCAGTTTTGTTGGGACATCAAATGAGTGGACTGCATTTAGAAATAATTTGGCACAACATATGTTTGAGGCTTGTGTGATGATCGGGTTTTCATTTAAGGAAAGTTTGGGGTTATTTGTAGAATTTATTTGAAACTTGAGGGGTGAAAATTGATAAATGAATTAAAAGTTTAAAAACCCTCCACCTCTTTTATAAAATTGTTTATCTTGAGATATTTTAGCTTACTTGGGTTTTGTTGGGATAAGAAGAGGCAAAAGCTGATTATACCATTTTTGGTCTCTGGTTCGAAGAAATAGAAGCAGAAAAGAATAAGTTGGTACGTGATTATTATCTGATAATTGTTGTTGTTAAAAGTCTTCATCTCCTTGTGATTTCAAGGTGAGTTACTATTTTAAAAGCATCATTCGGTTTGCTTTGATAAGGAACCGTGTGGTTTCCCGTTTTATACATGGGGTGTTTTAAAATTGATTATATGTTATTTTTAGCATAATATTGGAATTTGATATGTTATTACCAACTGATTGGAATAAGAGTGGCATAATCAGGAGAGATGTATTTTTAAATAAGTGTGACATATTTAGAAGAGACGTATATTGTGATAAGAGTGACGTAATCAATTGTTTGTTAAAAATGAAATTTTGATCATATGAACTGTTTTTATCGCATCTATATGATGCGATGAGTTTGTGTTGTCGCATCTATATGATGCGATAAGTTTGGGTGATCGACAAAAGAGATTATGGCATCCTAGTGATGTGAGGAGTATATTTATTGCATGTGTATGATGCGACAAAGGGGGTTATCACACCAGTATGGTGCGAGGAGCAGTGAGGAAGATTTTCATCGCATCCTAGTGATGCGAGGAACATTTTATCGCATGTAATAGGATGCGACAAGGTATAATTTATGTTGGATGCGACAAGATTGATCTTTATGTTATTTGATGCGATAAAAAACGATTGTCTCTTCCATATGATGCGACAAAAGAGGTTTGTTACCATAAAATATTGTTTATGTTATCAATACAAATGCGAGTTTTTTAAAAGTGTTTTGATGATTTTCACCCTGTAATCGCATCTAAAGTGATTTCTCACTAGACTTTATGGTCTAACTCTCATTTTATTTTCAAAAATGTGCATTACAGATCGGGCACTAGAAGAAGGTAAAGGAAAAGGAAAGATGTGAAATGATTTGTTATAACTTTACCTCTGTGGATTTTTGGGAAAGTTGAATATGTGCATATACTTGAGAATGTGTTATGTACAAGTCATGTACTATATGTGAACATGTAGCTACTTTTATATGTAGCAATTTGTACATATTGGAATTGGTGTGTAATATTTGTATTTCATGTTATATAAAATATGCGTTTTATGCAAACGGGAGTTGGGGTGTTACAACTTGGAATGCTACGCATTGACCTTTATGATTTGTAATGCTAGACGTTTATCTTTATGGTCTGCAATGAATATGATACCTATATTGCATACCGTTATGATTTATAATACTACAATTTCATTTTTATGATTGTATGTTTATGTTTACATTTTATTTATTTATTATTTAATTCGTTTAACAATATGTATGGAGGATCGAAGTCGTAATAGAAACTATCGAAATTAGACAACCATTGAAGATGCCAAACTTGTGGAGGCTTTGGTTAACATGGTTAATACCGGAGGATTTAAAGTTGATAACGCCTTTAAATGTGGATATTTACAATATCTGGAACAAGTGTTAAAAGAATCAGTTCCTGATTCTGGTATATTGGGTAAACCGTACATTGAATCAATAATTAAAACAATGAAAAAGGACTGACAAGTTGTCCATGACATGGTGAATGGGAAAAATACAAATGTGTCTGGCTATGATAGTATGAAACAATGTGTAATTGCTGAAGCATCAGTTTAAGAGTTTTACCTGAAGGTACCCATTTTATTTTTCATGCTATATTTGTAGTTATTATTTGATATCTTGGTAATGAATTTTTATGGCATGAAATAGGCACATAAAGAGACGGCAAAATGAAAAAACAAGACATTCCCACATTTTGAAGTTTTGTCTATTGTTTTTGGAAAAGATAGAGCTCAATAAAGTAGAGTTAGAGATGTTGTTGAGATGGAGGAGCAAGTGAATCTAGAAGAACAAGAACAACAATCAGATGACACGAAAAGTAGCCATAATGTACATAATGCTATAGATGTGCAAAGTGAAGAAGGTTCAAGTCGAGGTAGTAAGAAAAGAAAAACCGAGTTGAGACTCTTGTTGACGGAATGTATAGTGCAACTCTCTTACTTGGGGAGAAATATGAAAATGCATCAAAGAATATGGTAGACATCTAGATGAATATATAAAACAAGACTTCCATGGTGAATTCTCAACTTGCAAAAATGCAATCACTTTTTAGAGTGGAAAGATTCATAGCAGTCAAAAAGATAACAAATGAGCCTGATAACGTATTAATTTTTTGGAGTTTGGAAGAAAGAGAACGATAGGAGTGAGTGAGGTTTGTGCTAGAAGGTTGATTTTGGTTATGATTTGAAAACTCTAATTTAAGTTTTAGAAGTAAGGTATGTAGTTAACAATTTCATATGTTGTTGGATCTTAGTAATTTGTAGTGAACAGTTTAAGATGTTAGTAATATAAGGTATGTAGTGAACAGTTTCAGATTTTATCGGATGTTAGTAATGTAATTTGGTTTATGGTTAATTAGTTTGCACAATTTTACGTTTATTTTATGTAATAAATGATATTTAATTTAAATAATGTAACATAGTGAATGGTAATTTTAATTTTAAAGAAAAATGACAGAAAAATCATAAAAGGTCATTTGTTGATATTTAATTCTAATTTCAAAGTTGAATTCCGTGAACTAAACAAAAATATTGCAATTTCTTTAAAAATTCCATTCCAATTAATTTTTTTTGACGAATTCCAATTCCATCGAATTTCATTCTTCGAACCAAACGCCCCCTTAGTTAAAGGATTTGGAAACTTTAGTATGTTTATTTTAAAGGATTTGGAATGCAATTGAATCTCATTCTTTATGAATAATTTGTAATAACAAATTATAAAAATAAGTAATTTACCTTTTTATTAATTGATTATTAAAAAAACAAATATTTTTTACATATTATTATATACAAATCCTACGAAATCGTGTGAAATCCCAACCACCCTCGTGGGATTTCAAAATCTATTGTTTGATGGATTTCAAATCCGAACAATCCTGCAAACCAAACACGAGATTTGAATGAATTTGAATTCCATGTCCTCCAAATATTTTCCATTCCTACGAATCAAACGGACCCTCAATGTCCACAACGGAATATTCCACCATATCCTCGGGTTCTCAACCACTACGCCACAACCTTGTGGTTTGGTATACGAATTTTCCAACTTCATTATGCCTCTTTTGTTTCTTCTCTACTTGTATATCTTATCTTCTTGTTTCTTCTTCTCAGCTTTTATTTCTAGGTTGAGAGATGAAAAAATGGCACGATATATACCCATTTTGGAACTACTTTGGTTTCTCAACCGTTGCCTCTCAGCTTCAAACAGAAACACACGTACACGTTGTACTTACCACAAATCTGCCCATCAACTCATGATACATATTTTTGAACCATGTTACATTAATATACATAAAATACCTCAAGAAATGCCAAGCACTTATCAAGAATGGCATGTTGGACCCATATTCATTACCATTTTCAGTAGGGTGAATTTGAAAGACTGTTTTTTGGGGATGGGGGAGAGAGAGAGAGAGAGCCCCACAGGTTTCCCCTTTGAGTTATATCCACCCAACAACAAACATGCCTCCCACCAACCAAATAGTGCATTCATAATTCACACTTGATAATAATTCTTCAATACTACCAACAAAAATCAGATCTTGATGAATCCCACAACCACCAATCATCCATAAAAATTTGAACACTTTGCTTTTCCCCCCATCATTCATTTGCATTTCATTTCGGTCAGAAAGTGTTTTTCCAAGCATACAACATAAACAAACAGATTAAACATACAAAATTTAATTAAAAAAAGAGATTGGATTTAAGTTTACATTAAGGGCAAGGAGGAAGTCATAAGTGTTGTTGATCCTGTTCTTGGGCTGCTTCCTGTGCTGCTATTTGAAAGAGAACCAAATGCTCTCTTTTGCAACACTCCAGTTGGAGACAAGGTCATCTGTTGGCTACTTTCCCAACCATCTGTCATCAGACTTAGAGCCGAGGGGCTATTGTTTAACACTTCGCCTAACGGCCCACCCATTGAACTTTCCCAAGAAACTGGGATCCATTGTGACCTTTCGCTATTATTTCCCACTCCCAACCCCATTCTTAGAGGCGAAAGGTTGAGTCTTTCGCTGATAGGGGATGAAGTTGAAGACATGAAGTCTGAGGGGGGTATTGGAATTGAGATGGAGAGTTGTGTTCTATCGGATTGTGGCCAATTATCCATGAATTGACGAAGGGAGTTTTGGGATTTGTGACCCCCATCCTCATTTTTTTGCAGTGGGTTCAGCAAGGAATCCGAGCAAACAAGCCCAAATTCGGATGGATTCTGTTTTAGGCCAATGGATGAATGGCCTATTGCATCTTCAGTTTTCTCATTTCCCTTGTTTAAGAAACTTCTGCACATTGAATCACAGATCAAGACTTGTACCACTAAATATCAAAGAGAAGGGAAAAAGAACCCATTGGTAAAATCTATATTTCCAAACTTATTATCAAAAGCCATGGCAATCCTTTGCCAAAAATTCAATATATAAAAGGGATCTTCACTGAAAGAATTAAACTGGATTAAAATGGTGAATCTTTTTTTATACCTTATATCATGGGAATATGCTGCAGGCTGCATTCTATTGCTGCTACTAAGTTGATGCAAGTGGCTGACAATGGTGGAGGTAGTGGTTACCACTGCAGCTGATGCGGAGACTTTGGCGGCAGCAACAGCAGCGGTGGTGGTAGGTCCGTTGGAGACGGAATGGCCAGTTTGGCCTTCCACAGGCTTTCTTGAACGATGTCGGCCTCTGTTCATGTGGCGCTCGCAGTATTTTTGATCTGCAACCGCGTCCCTAGAGCACCGCCACTTCTTCCCATCTGTTCTACGACACCTCCCAGGCTCTGGATCAGAGCTGTTGGAGAAGCCCAGATGGAAAGCACCCCATCCATCTGCTCAAAACATGAATTCATCATCAAATTGCTGTACTATGAACTCTCTATCTATCTATCAAGCAGCTGAATTGTTTACTTGGGTTTAAAGAGATTAAGAAGAAAGTAACTTACAAGTAGTGTTTCTTAGATGGGTTCCCGAAAAGGCAGCTGTTTCAAGGGCCTTTCTGATGGGGATAAGGAGATTAGAAGGGACAGGTGCATTGACAGTGATGTATTTGTAGATCAATGCTTGGTGTTCTAACTCCATCCATTGTGATGCTGTGAATGGTCCTCTCACCCCTGCCATCAAACTCCCTCCAGAACCACAACCATTACCTTCAATTAATTCCAACAAGCATACATAAGAAATTGCTTCTTTTTGATCAGGCCTCAAAAGATGGAAGTAGAATGACAAGGAAAGAATCTCTTAATGCATCAAGAAAACATAACATTAAGTTTGATTCTTTACCATTTCTCCTTAAACTTGCAGGAAAAAACTGTACCTTTATTATTATTATTATTATTATTATTATTACCAAGATTTTGTGGAAATGTCTTACAGAAGCATATATATATATATATATATATATATATGTTAAGCAACCCCACATCAGCATTGAAGACATTTCAAAAAAAAAAAAAAAAAACACAGAGAGATTGGAAAAAGAAAAAAGAAGCATAGAGTGCCTACCACTACCTGCAGTGTTTGGAGCATAGTAAGGCAATGTGAGAGTATTTGGTGAAGAAAAGCTAAGCATATTCTGAGAATCAGAATAAGCAGAGTGAGAGGTGGTATTAGATCTGAGCATTGCCTTTGAGATATCCTGTTGAGTAATTTTTGGAAGTTTTAAATCCCTCCATTCGTCTTGATTATGAGCAGTAGCAGAAAGAGACCTTTCCTGTTTGAACCCAGATCCAACTTGAACATAGCATTTGGGATTAGGATCCAAATCGTAGAGACCCCCAAAATCCATAGCAGCAAAGCAAAATGAATCAGCTTAGTGAAGACCAAAAGATGGGAACATCTTATTCTAAACGCTGCTTTGCTTATCAAAGGAGGGAAGAAGAAGAGAAGAAGAAGAAGAAGTAGTAGAGAAATTCTGAACTTTGATTTTATAAAAAATAAATAAAATGTATTTATAAACTTTCCATGTCCAAATCAGTCTCAATCATAAATTATAATATTCGACTTTCTTTTCCATTTTGTATAAAACAAATTGTTAATTTCTTTCTTCTAACACATCACTTTTCAATATTTTAAAACAATCCAACATTAAAAACATAAAATAAAATATATTTTCATCATTAATTTAATATTAAAAAACATTACAAAAATAAAGGTAGAAAATAATAACCTTTAAAAATATATATTAATATAATATTAAGTTTTTATAATTATATATCAGAGTTGATTTGTTAACCGAATATATGGTATTAATTTTGTGAACAAATCCTAGCCTTTCATCTTTGTAACCTATGGATAAAATTCTTCATGACATTTTTGTAACTAATTAAAAAATGATGTTTAATAAACATAGGTGAACAATCATGAACTAAGTGTTATTTTGGAAAAAAAGTAGGGAGATTTCTTTTAACATTAATTACTTTTATGATAATTACTCCATCGTTTTGAAACCGACATCAAGCTTTAATTATTCATTCATTTATTAATATATAATGTTTAACTTATGAATGTTGTGAATTAATGAAAACCTGTTATACATGAGTAGTTTATGAATATTTTTTACCAATGAAAATATAACATATATGAAAATGTTCATTAGTGAACACATACCTAAATATGTACATATGTGTGACTGGTGAATAGTGTTCACTAATGAACAAGTTGTCAATGTGAACAATGTTCATTATTAAACATTGAGTATACGCTCATTCATGTTGACAGCTACTATGTTCATATTGATCGTTCATATTATAACCAAAATACACATTTCTTTGATATGTTACCTTTATTTCATTCACTTGATATAAACATATCAAAATACCACAATTATGCTAATCATAGCATCAAAAACAGTTTTATATCATCACCATGTAATGAACCCTACAGTTCCAATTTCAACATAATAAGATGAAAATTGTAAAATAAAATCACCTTATAAATCACAAGAGATGAAGATATGAAAATGAATATCAACAATTATTCAGGTAGTAATCACATAATCAACCTTCTTTCTTTCCTTTTTTGATTGCTTCAAATTTCTCGGCTCAAAGAATACACAAGAAGACTTCTTTTCGTTTCTACTTCACAATTACCATCCCAATGAGATAATATAATTATCTCATATTATCATATATATAAAATCATGAGGCGTCGGGTAAGTTTTAAATGATTTTCACCATAATAATAGATCAAACCCCTCAACTTACCACCACTTTTCAAAAACAAACCCTGAGTTTTATAACCGATTAACCAGTTATCATATTATTCTCCCCTCAAAATAATTATGTCCCGTAATTCATTCAATTAAACAACTGAGGATATTTTGATCTCATCTCCAACTCTAGTTCTCAAGCAGCTTCTTGACCCTTATGAAAACGCCACTATACTTTCACAAGACTTATTTTTTTTATTTCTCAAAACTTTTGTCTTCCACTTAGTGACGGCCTCAGGGGTTTCCACGAAATTTAACTTATCATCAACTTGCACGTCAGGTAACAGTGCTTCCATATTCGGATCAAGCAAACAAAATCTCCTACCATAAAATCTTCTACCATAAATTCAATCGGTTTTCAGCGTCTGTCGACGTAACTTTTCTGTCGGTCCTAAGCTGTTTTAATTCATTCTCGGATTTGATCTATATTTTCAGTAGTTAATTGACAATCTCTTGACCAGTCAATTGTTTCTCCCCACTTCATTCCAATACAACGACGTTCTGCACTTTTGGCCATACAAAACCTCATACGGTGCCGCTTGAATGCTTGAATGGTAACTATTGTTGTATGCAAATTCAATCAAAGGCATATGATTTATCCATGAACCCCCGAAGTCGATAATACAAGCTCTCAACATATCTTCAAGAGTCTAAATTATTTTTTCACTCTACCCATCTGTCTGAAGGTGATACGTCGTACTCAATCTGATCTGAGATCCCATAGCTCTTTAAAAGCTCTCCCAAAATTTAGAGGTAAAGATGTTGTCCCTATATGAGACGATTGACAAAGGAACACCTTGACGAGTTACTATTTCTTCAATATAAATCTTTGCAAGCCTTTCTAAATGATAATTCTCCTTAATTGGTAGAAAGTGCGCAAATTTTATTAGACGGTCTACAATAACCAATATAGCATCATACCTCTTTGGAGTTCGCGGTAACTTCATGATATCTATTGTGATATAACCCCACTTCCATACATGAATTTTCACAGACAGCAAATTCCCGTATGGTCGTTAATGCTCAATCTTCACTTGTAGACATGTCAAACATCGCTTCACATATTTTGTAATATCTTTTCTTCAATCCTGGCCACAAATAGAATGGTTTTAAATCTTTATACATCTTATTGGTACCTAGATGAATTAAGTATCATGACCTGTGACTTTCATCTAAAATTAATTCACGGTTATTCCTGAAACGTGGTACCCAGATTCTATCTTGGAAATATAGAATCCCTTTATCTTTCTTTGTGAAAGTCGATATTAATCCACCAAATTTTTCGACTTTGAAATTTTCGTCCTTAACTGTTTCACATTGACATCTCAAAATCTCGTTAAGAATGTCAGGGTTAATTTTGTTCTCATTGCAATGACTTTGATTGTTTCACTTTTTTCTTTTCGACTAAGTGCGTCGGCCACCACGTTTGCCTTTCTGGAGTGATAAAGGATTTCACAATCATAATTATTCACCAGTTCAATCCATCGTATTTGCCGCATATTTAATTTCTTTTGGTTAAACAAATGTTTAAGAATTTTATGATCTGTGTAAATCTGACATTTGGTTCCTAGTAAGTAATGCCCCCAAATCTTAAATGCAAAAATGACGACTGCGAGCTCCATGTCGTGCGTAGGGTACTATTTCTCGTGATCTTTTAACTGTCTGGAAGCGTATGGAATAACTTTCCCTTTCTGTATCAATACACACTCAGACCCAGTTTTGAAGCATCACTATACACCATAAAATCTTCTGAATCTTCTGGTAATGAAAATATCAGAGCACTGCATAAACGATTTTCCAATAATTTGAAGGCTTTAATCTGATCCTCTCCCCGTTCATACTTAACACTCTTCCTTACCAGCTTGGTCACAAGTGCATCAATACGTGAGAGGTCTTAAATAAATTTACGATAATACCCCGCTAGACCAAAAAACTACGACTCTCGGTGGGGGTTCTTGGTACTTCACATCTCTCAATAGCCTCAATCTTTGCAAGATCCACTTTTACCCCTGCCTCAGAAACAATATGACCCAAAATTGGATTTTTTTCAACCAAAATTCACACTTGGACAACTTTGTTTACAATTTCTCCCTTTTTCAAAAGTTCGAGAATTAAACGAAGATGTTCTGCATGTTCAACTTCTGATGGAGAGTATATAAAAATATCGTCGATAAATATAATAACAAATTTATCAACATATTCGTTATATACTCTATTCATCAATCCATTGTTGGTCCCAACCGGATCTACAAGAGTTTACAGGTAACAGTTTGTAGGGGGGGCAATGAATACAAACACAACAACTTTCACTTTTAAAAATTATATATTGATAAAGAAGATCAATATAAATTTTACAAATTGTTTGCAGAAGAGATAGGATACAGAACCTATCTAAACAATCTAAGATAAACACAAAATTACAGATTGTTCATCTTTGACATCCTTATCCATGAGACATAGGTAGGTCGTGTCTTGCTCGTTAGAGGATGATTTATCAAAAGAATCAGCCAGTTATACTTCAACAACAAGACATTTGCCTTTATGATGAAGATTCTTCATCTTTTTGTACTTCTCCTTTAGTTTCAGGTACTTGTCCTTTTGAGGCCTGAAGAAGGATGGGAGATTGGAAGATGGCGTCACAGCTTTCTTCGACCTACATCCACTCGCAAAGTGACATTTGCATTGATAGTTGTAGAAGCTCGTTGAAGCCTTGTTAATGGGGTTTGACTTTGGCTTTTCAGCTTTCTTCGACCTACATCCACTCGCAAAGTGACATTAGTTAGAAGGGCCAACGAATCATCAAACTCTGAAAGATTAGCTTCTGTCAAGTCCTCAGAGTAAAAGGATATAAGTCAGTGATAGAAACAGAAGAAGAAATAGAAGAAATAGAAGGTCAGCTGAAGGGCTATCAGAGATCAAAGCTAACCGAGAGATTTTCATTTCCTTGGAGTCATTTATAAGATTCTTCTTCAGCTGACGGGATTACTTATGATTAAGCAAAATCTCATAAAGAGAACTGAGAGAAAGAGAGGACATGTCTTTGGACATCTTGAGACACATGGTATACTGATCTCATGCTTCTGGAAAACATTCAAGGAATTTTGTCAGTATTTCTGAGTTGAAATATTCTATTCCAATTGTCCTCAAATCGATGTGAAGATAATTAAATCGTTGAGATGTACTTCAGACAAAGATTTAATTTTTTCACCAAAAAAACTTTCATATTGTTTTACTATATTATTCTTTCTCGATTCTTGTACTTCATATTGAACACAGAGAGTGTCCCACATGGTTTTCAAGGTTTTAAGCTTCATCACAGAGTGATAAACCTCGTCAAGAAGATCTATGACTATTAAAGACCTCGCACGAGTGTCTAAATCCATATTCTTCTCGTCTTCATCACTCAATTGACGAGGGAGCTTCGGAATCTGCCGTTCAGGAATCGCAGTAGTCGTAGCAGTAGCAGGAACTATTGGAGAGATAGCGAATGGATCATAAGGTCCATTCTCTACATAGTATGGAATCTCAGGATCCACACCTTCCAAGAAGAGAGACATCTGGTTCTTCAAGAGACTGAA